AAGTGCCTGATTTTTATCAGGATGACTAACAAACATATCGTTAGCATTTGTAACATGCAAACAATTATTTGACAATTGTAGGTCGACGGTGTGGGAGAGAAAAGCTGAGGGGATAGGATAGACCCTTGAAGAACTCCATAGTCGTTGAAAAGGACCGTGGACTGTTACTTTCCGCATTGGAAGAATTGAGTGAACGAAGTGGAATAATCTCCCAGCCAAGAGGCAGCCCAGCCGGGAGAGTCGCATGCGGACGTTTTGTTAAGTAGGAGCTGGCGTGGAACAGTATTTAAGGGCGGAAGAGTAGTCAAAAATATAAAGGCGTACGCACGGAACCCTTATCGAAATCTCTGAGAGCAGAATGCACCACAGGGCTACAGCATCTACGGTCCTACGCCTGGTCTTCTATACAAATTGTAAGGAGTCGTGCAAAATGCAGAAGGATGGCGTCATAATATATAGAGCAAATCGTTCAGCAAACACTTGGATGAAAAGAATAAGACCTAAACATCGTAGATAATTAGGGATAGGAGTATTTCTTACCGTACATCAAGCATTAAGAATCTTGGACTCCATGAAGGACATGTTAGTAAAGTGTGTCAAATCAGGACTATCTGAGAATACAAGATTGAGGGAAAAATTCTCAGACACCATCCGGCTTGGCAGCTGTTGATTCATGGACATTTTTGAGGTGTTGCCATAGACAGCAAAGAAGATACACGGTAGTAGGGAAATTTCGTTTGAGGGAGGATTGGAGTCACTGAGAGTAAAGACATAATTTTCATTTAAAGGCTCTGTAATGACCCGAGTCCGCGTGCAACGCTCTACCTCTCGCGCATGTTAGCACGTGCGCACCAGTGTCTACCGACCGCAGTCCTGTCCGGCCAATCACCTTCAAGGCTGGCGGACGCACGCTCTTCCAGCTGTCAGTTTAATCCGACCTTTTTTTCACTAGCACTGTACAGAATATACTCTTAGAGTGTAACATTGGCTAGTGAGTTTAATCCGTTCAATCACAGAGCTCGTTAGCTGAAACGCTCGTCTTGCGAAACGTAACCAATCAAGGGTAGCTCACACAGGACCTCACTTTCACACTTCAGAGGTCACCCCTTTCGGCTGCGGACGCACGCTCGTGCAGCTGTCACCTGAAACGCTCGTCTTACGAAATGTAGCCAATCGAACTGAATCAGTTCACTGATTGGCTGCAGGTGACCGAGGACCCATGCCATGGGAGCAAAACTCTGCGGCGGGCACACGCATACGCATGCACCAACAACTCGATAACTGACCGCAAGCTCGTCACTCAAAACAAATTTGCTGCGAGTGACTCACTCGTTATCTAAAATGCTCGTAGATGGAGCTGCTCATCACCCGAGGTCTGGAGTCCTACTTCTCTTCCCACAACAAACCGGACTTGAAGACCGCAGTGGGAAGGGTTTTCTCCATCAACTTAAGCCACTGCGACAGGTCTATATCAGCGTCAAAATGTGCTACCTTGACCGGTGAGACGCTTCAGATTCCACCAAAGGTCAACAGAGGAAGTAAAGGTGTAGAAGAATGGAGAAAAAAGCTGACTCCTAAAGAGGTCGTCCAGTCAGACAATCTCCTTTTGGCAACAGTAGCTTATGTGGCCCCACTCCTTATTC